GTAGTAGTAGTAGTAGTAGTAGATAGTAGTAGTAGTAGATAGTAGTAGTAGTAGTAGTAGTAGTAGTAGTAGTAGTAGTAGTAGTAGTAGTAGTAGTAGTAGTAGTAGTAGTAGTAGTAGTAGTAGTAGTAGTAGTAGTTTAAGTATAGGTAGTAGTAGTAGTAGTAGTAGTAGTCGTCGTAGTCGTAGTAGATAGTAGTAGTAGTTAGTAGTAGTAGTAGTAGTAGTAGTGTAGTAGTTGTAGTAGTAGTTAGTAGTAGTAGTAGTAGTAGTAGTAGTAGTAGTAGTAGTAGTAGTAGTAGTAGTAGTAGTAGTAGTAGTAGTAGTAGTAGTAGTACTAGTAGCGCAGCGTTTCGTTGCCCCGTTGGGGACCCCAACGAAGGCCCCAGCGGCGGTGTTCGCATGGGTCTCCCCCGCCCAGTACAGCACTTCGTGGCCCCATGGGGGGCTCCATGGAAGGCCGCAGTGGCTGTGTTCGCATGCGCTTTCCGCGCCCTGTACAGTGTCTCGTGGCCCCATAGGGGGCTGGCCTCAGTGGCGGTGTTGTGGCTTCACAGGAAGCTCCACCGAAGGCTTCGCTGGCGGCGCTCGCGTGCGTTTCCCCTGCCCAGCACTTCGCGTCGTGGCCCCATAGGGAGCTTCACCGAAGGCCCCAGTGGCATGGTTCGCATGCGTTTCCCCACGCAGTGCACCATTTCGTTGTACCATATGGAGTTCCACCGAAGGCCCAAGTGGCGGTGTTCCCGTGTTTTCCCAACCCAATCCAGCGCTTTGTGGCCTTTATAGGGAGCTCCACCGAAGGCCTGTAATGGCGGTGTTCGCATGCGTCCCCCCCGCCCAATCCAGCGCTTTGTGGCCCCATAGGGAGCTCCACCGAAGACCTGTAATGGCGGTGTTCGCATGCGTCCCCCCCGCCCAAGACAGCGCTTTGTGGCCCCATAGGGAGCTCCACCGAAGGCCCCAGTGGCGGTGTTCGCATGCGTTTCCTCCGCCCAGTGCAGCGTTTCGTGGCCTCATAGGGAGCTCCACCGAGTGCCCAATGGCGACGTTCGCGTGGCGGCCCCGCTCCATTTCGGCAGAACCTCACTCGTTTCGTGACGCCATATGGAACGCCACCGGAGGCACCAACGGGTGCGCCCGCATGTGTTCGTGCCCCATTTCTGCACACCCTTTACACGCTTCGTGGCCCCATGGCGAGATCCACCGAAGGCGATGCACACAACGGCGATACTCCAAACTGCACATGGTTGGGCCCTTCGTTAAGATTTTTTCAACCAGCATGTTCCATTTTTATCTACAGTGTTTTTGGTATTATTCATGAGAGACAACTGAATCATTTTTTGGTAATATTTGAATATCCAATTACGCTACCGACGAACCCCACATACTTATATTATGGCTGGGGTGGTGATAGCTACAGTGAAGCATGTGAGAATGATGTTGGTGGCCGTTGCCCCGCCGATACCGCAAGGACGACCGTCACGGATAGTGGCCGCGCTCAGGGACCACCCCGTGCTCACCCCTTGTGGTGTCGAGAAAACGCCACGCCTGCTGTGCCCTGGACGACCGTCACGGATAGCGGCCGCGCTCAGGGACCACCCCGTGCGTACCCCCTGTGGTGTCGAGAAAGTGCCACGCCTGCTATGCCTGGACGACCGTCGTGCATAGCGGCTGCGGTGAGAGACCACCCCCTGCTAAGGTTTGCGACAGTGTCGTGGGTGGCGGCCGCGCTCAGAGACCCCCTGTGGTGTCGAGAAAGTGCCACGGCTGCAAATCTTTGCGCCAGTGTCGTGGATAGCGGCCGAGCTGAGAGACCACCCCCTGCCCACCCCTTGTGTGTCGAGAAAGTGCCACGCCTGCTAGGCTTTGCCTCAGTGTCGTGGATGGCGGCCGAGCTGCGAGACCACCCCCTGCGCACCCCCTTGTGGTGTCGAGAAAGTGCCACGCCTGCTAGGCTTTGCGACCGTGTCGTGGATAGCGACCGAGCTGAGAGACCACCCCCTGCGCACCCCCTGTGGTGTCGAGAAAGTGCCACGCCTGCTAGGTTTGCGCCAGTGTCGTGGATAGCGGCCGAGCTGAGAGACCACCCCCTGCGCACCCCGTGTGGTGTCGAGAAAGTGCCACGCCTGCTAGGCTTTGCGCCAGTGTCGTGGATAGCGCCGAGCTGAGAGACCACCCCCTGCGCACCCCCTGTGGTGTCGAGAAAGTGCCACGCCTGCTAGCTTTGCGCCAGTGTCGTGGATAGGGACCGCGGTGAGAGACCACCCCCTGCGCACCCCCTGTGGTGTCGAGAAAGTGCCACGCCTGCTAGGCTTTGCGCCAGTGTCGTGGATAGCGGCCGAGCTGAGAGACCACCCCCTGCCCACCCCCTTTGGTGTCGAGAAAGTGCCACGCCTGCTAGGCTTTGCGCCAGTGTCGTGGATAGCGGCCGAACTGAGAGACCACCCCCTGCGCACCCCCTGTGGTGTCGAGAAAGTGCCACGCCTGCTAGGCTTTGCGACAGTGTCGTGGATAGCGACCGAGCTGAGAGACCACCCCCTGCGCACCCCCTGTGGTGTCGAGAAAGTGCCACGCCTGCTAGGCTTTGCGCCAGTGTCGTGGATAGCGGCCGAGCTGAAAGCTCACCCACTGCCCACCCCCTGTGGTGTCGAGAAAGTGCCACGTCTGCTAGGCTTTGCGCCAGTGTCGTGGATAGCGGCCGAGCTGAGAGACCACCCACTGCCCACCCCCTGTGGTGTCGAGAAAGTGCCACGCCTGCTAGGCTTTGCGCCAGTGTCGTGGATGGCGGCCGAGCTGCGAGACCACCCCCTGCGCACCCCCTGTGGTGTCGCGAAAGTGCCACGCCTGCTAGCCTTTGCGCCAGTGTCGTGGATAGCGGCCGAACTGAGAGACCACCCCCTGCGCACCCGCTTTGGTGCCGAGAGAGTGCCACGCCTGCTAGGCTTTTCGCCAGTGTCGTGGATAGCGGCCGAACTGAGAGACCACCCCCTGCGCACACCCTGTGGTGTCGAGAAAGTGCCACGAGCTGTGTTGTGCCGTGCTGAGCTGAGCTGTGCTGGGGTGTGCTGAGCTGTGCTGAGCTGAGCCGAGCTGTGCTGTGCTGAGTTGGGCTGAGCTGTGCTGTGCTGTGCTGAGGTGAGTTGAACTGAGCTGAGCAGTGCTGTGACGAGGGGGGGAAAAGTGAAGTGTGTGTGTGTGTGTGAGTGAAGGGAGGAAGAAAGAGAGAGGATGGGGAGGTGTGAGGAGACGCGGGTGCGGCGCGGCAGGGAAGAAAACCAGAACCCCACGAAGTATGTGGGGAACTAAAACTTCAACCCTTCCAATCGTGAGTCTCTCCGCGGGTCCAGTTAACGCGCGCCGAAAGTTGGCGCGTAATGGCGCGGTGGGTCAGGGGCCCTTCGCGAGGGGCGTCGTTATTGCCTCTTTCCCTTCCTGTCTTTTACGCGACTTTGCGCGCGATTGGCTCAACATGACATCTTTCAGGATCGGACGCAGCTTGCGTTTTAGCAGCTAAGAGGGTACGCGCGCCTCTCTCGTTAGCGCGCGCGTATCATAACCAACTCTCACCTTCATTTAACGGAACTATATAGCAACGTCGCACGATGTCGTGAAAAGTGGCCATCTGTCAACAATGTTTCACCCTGAAGCTAGGATGCCAGGGCAAGGGCGATGCTCGAATGTCCGAGTGTAAGGAACATGTGGGGATTTCGTTTTATGTCCAAGGGTCTCGCATCACCTTGCAGCCTTCGTGCATGTCTGGGCGTTAGCGAGGGCCTGAACACAGTTTCTTCGATGCGATCGGCCGTGGTGCATCCGTGTTCACACTGTGGCAGGATGGCCCTGCAGAAAAAATATGTCGGCGACGTTATGTCGATGGGCATGCCCCCCCCCAATCAGGTCCTCATTCGCCTCGGCGGCGACGGGCATGTCTCGCCGGGAACCCGCAGCGCGCAGGAAACCAGCCTGCGCGGCGGCGGCAGCGCTGGCCGCCATCGGGATCGCCGGTGCCAAGTCTGCGCCCAAGGTCTCGGGCAACCCTGGAACGGGGACATAAAAAAGGGCGTTTTCCAAGTCACTTGGCGCGAAGATCATCGTGCATCGCGCTGTGGACAAAAGGGGTGCAATCTGCCAGGCAGGCCGCACGGGTGCGCAGTCGTGCTTCGCGCAGCGCGGGGCGCGAAAGAAGGTGACACTACGTTTTGGGACGCTCTCAGAGTGCTCAGGAACGGAAGGGAGCGGCCGCGTCGCCCGCTGCATCTTCTGGGCCGGCCATTGACATGAGTTTCCCCAGTTATGTGCGTACCAGGTCTGCTTGCATCCGTGTCCTCCGGCCCGAAGGCTCGGCGAGTTAACCAGGACCTGCAAGACCTTGCAAGATACCCTGGTTCGGACCCCTTTACTTACAGGATAACTGCGCCACCTATGGTCCTTGACCCTGGTTTAGATGCGGCACCTCACCTCACGTTCGAAGGTCACTGGTGGTAAGCCCTGATCCCTGATCTGCATGTCGGCGTCAGTCGAGCGTGTGGATGCTGTTTGTTTTGTTTTCCCAACCCTCCCTGTGTTGGGTTTCTCGAATTGTTTTGAATAGAGCCCTGCTCGCGCTTCTCCTTCCTTGCTTCCTCCCGGTTCCCCCTCCCTGCCTCCTCCTTCGCCTACTTTCTGCATTCTGTGCGCTCTGTCGGGGGCTGCGAACTTCGCAACCGTCGCCATTTCCGTGGGCTCCTGGGAGGCACGGCGGAGTACAGGACTTCGCGCGTGAAGGCGAGACCTCGCGGTTCCTTTGGGAGTTGCGACATGCGCAAGTGTCGCCATTTTCGTGGGCTCTTGGGAGGCACGGCGGAGTGCAGGGCAGCGCGAATCGTGTTCCTTTGTATGGAGCGCTCACACGCATTAATTGTTGACGCTTCGCGAATCCCCACCAGCCTATCCAGAAACGATGCCCAGAGGACTTTCCTCGATCAGGGAAGTGGGCAGCACACAGAGGAAGCCAATATGAGACATCTTGGGATATCTTGAGCCATCTTGGAGGTCATTTTGGGCTCTCCCAGGCGCTCTTGACCTTAATCAGTGCCCCCCCCCGCAGATGCCAACATGTGGCTAAAACCTTAGTAAAATCAATGATTTGGCATTCTGGCCGAGGCCTCTTTGAGCATCTTGAGTGCCTCTGGGGGGTCTCTTGGGGCCTCTTGGGGGTCTCTTGGGGGCCTCCTGGGGGCCTCTTGGGGGCCTCTTAGGGCTATCTTGGGGCCATCTTGGGACCTCTTGGGGCCTCCTGGGCGCTTCTTGGGGCCATCTTGGAGGAGATCGATCAAACAAGAGGGGAGCATTAATTTTGCGTCCACCCCCCAGGAGGCCAACATGGTGCCAAAACCTGAGTAAAACCAATGATTTTGGCTTCCTCGTCGAGGCCATTTTGGCATTCTCGCCGAGGCCTCTTTGAGCATCTTGGGTGTCTCTGGGGGGTCTCTTGGGGCCTCTTGGGGGTCTCTTGGGGGCCTCCTGGGGGCCTCTTGGGGGCCTCTTGGGGGCCTTCTTGGGGCCTCCTGGGCGCTTCTTGGGGCCTCTTGGGCGCTTCTTGGGGCCATCTTGGAGGAGATCGATCAAACAAGAGGGGAGCATTAATTTGCGTCCCCCCCCAGGAGGCCAAAATGGTGCCAAAACCTTAGAAAAAAAACAATGATTTTGGCTTCCTCGCCGAGGCCGTTTTGGACGCTCCGACGACTCGCGAAACCCTTTGTCCAGGTCCATGGGGAGGGGGTAGGGGGAGGAGTGGGATTTATGCGCATCTTCACAGATCCACTCGTGGGCCTATGCATGCCGCCTTTTGGAGCCGTAAGGAGTTCGATTGCTTCTGGTAACCTTCGCCAGGGTGTGGAGACAGACGCCCACGAAAACGGGGCCCGAACGGCGGCAAGTTTCGGAACGACAGGTCGCGGCGTGCCTCGCGTCCCAAGACGCGGAGTTGCGTGCGGAGGCGGCGCGGGCCCTCGGGCTCATGGGTGCGGCCGGCGCCAAGTACGAGGGCGACCTGGTCCGGCTGCTTGGCGACGCCTCGCCAAGCGTCGCAGCGGCGGCTTGCTGCGCCCTGGGGTGCCTGGAGGCGCGCGCCCAGGTGGGCTCGCTCGCCCCGCTTCTGAAGAGCCAGTTCCCCGCCGTGCGCGCGGCCGCTTGCCAGGCTCGCCATGGGCCACACGGCTCCCTAGGGGAAAGCGGCCCCGACTGCGAATGGTTTCTGGTTTTTTTTCTGCCACTCCGGGCTCTTCCCGCGCCACGAGACAGTCAAGCCACGACTCGGGATAAGAAGCTGGTTCAGGGAAGCCCCAGGGCATCTATGACCCTATCCCCTCGGGACCTCTCTGGCCCACGGCAACAGGCCCTGGGCACCATGGGGCCCGCGGCGGAGCTGCACGTCGAGGAGGTGGTGCGGCTGCTTCAGGACAAGTCCGAGCAGGTCGCCTCGGAGGCGGCGGCGGCGCTGCCCAAGTGCGGGGAGGCGGCCCAGGTCTACGCGTCGGAGTTGTGCCGGCTGATGCTCGGCGACGCGCCCCCAGCGGTGCGCGCCGCGGCGGCCCTGTCCCTGGCCGCCATGGGCGAGCGCGGGGCGGCCTTCCAGGAGGAGATCGAGGTGCTGCTCCAGGAGGACCCCGCCCCGGAGGTCCAGGCGGCGGCGGAGTCCGCGCTGCGGATGATCGAGTCGCACTCCACGGAGGTGGCCAGCGCCGCCGCGCGGGCCGCGGAGATAGCGGACGCGGCGGCTTCGGCGGCCGCGGATGCCGCAAGGGCGGAGGCCGCAGCACAGGCTGCGCGGGCACAGTTGCCGCTGGAACTGGCTTACGTGGACCCTGCGGCGGTCCGCAGGCCAGTCGCGCTGATGTTCCCAGGCCAGGGGTCGCAGCACGTCAAGATGCTGCAGGACGTCCAGGACTTGCCAACGGTCAAGGACATCCTCGCAAAGGCGAACTCGATTCTGGGCTACGACATCCTGGCCATCTGCATGGAGGGCCCGGAGGAGAAGCTCGGGCAGACCAGGTTCTGCCAGCCGGCCATGTACATCGGCGGATTGGCCGCGGTCGAGAAGTTGAAGACGGAGAAGCCTCGGGGGACACCAACCACCGAGACATCCGACGTATCCTGACATGCGGGCGTCGTGACAGCAAAAACACGACGGGCGGTTTCGCCCTGTAGCGTGCTCCAGGATCATTGTGGATCGGTCCGGCTGGAGGCATCCCGTACAAGGGGTTTGGGAGTTTCGATGAGGTATGTCCGCGCCGCGTTGACGTGGCGGCGACCCCAGCCCGGGCGTTCACGATTGTGCCGCCTGTGGCCTGCAATCGACCGATATCCAAGGACCTGCGTTATCGGAAAGCCGCGTTCGCTCAAGGTGCGTCGATCCAGGCGATGTCAGAAACCAACGCCGACGTCGTCGCGGTTCGGACCTGCTGTACGTTGTGTCTTCTCTCGACGGCGTTCTTTGTTTCATTTCGTGACGTCGGATGGTTGGGTTGGCCTTGGCATTCGCGTGGATTTCACGCCGCGAGCCCTGCTGGGCCCCAGAGGGGCCTTCAGAGGCCTGGGGGCGCAACCCTCATTCCTTCGGGCTCCCGGTATGAACTTATCAAAGCCCCCGAAATCTTTGATGGTAATAAGAATGAAAAGCCAGAAGAACATCTGATGGTATCTTCATACCGCTGGCGCGCTCGACTCAAGGGCCCTAAAGGGTTTGGGCCAAAACGTAACAGTACGCTCGCTATGCGACAGTCATGCTCTGCACAATGCACACGATGTACAGCGTATATCTCACCAGTGAAAAAGTAAAACAAATAGAACAGAGAGACACCCTCCCTTCATTATGAAATGCGAAATCCGAAACTCCACATGCAGACATCTTAAACATCTTCTGCACAAACTGCCGAAGACTGCATACACCAACCGCATAACATTGAGATACGAAACCTGCATACATCTGAAGTGCAAACTTGCGTCTGCAAAGGGACTATGAAGTGCATGACTGGCAACAAAAAACTGAATGTACACCCATCATCTGAAGCTGCGCTGGTGTGTTGGCTCACTCACTGCAGCCCTTGGGGCTGTCGTCTGCTGCCCGTTCGTATCCGTCCTGCCACTGGTTGGGTTCAGTCGTCTCTACTGAAACTTTGCCTGCTCGCTTGAATCCATCCATCTTATGACAGAATCGCCACTGATCTCCCTGCAGCCGGTAAGTAACCATACTCTGTACGCCGACTGTTAAGGACCAGTGAAGCGACCCCCCCCCCTTTAAGTTTCGTTCAGTGCGTCGCCCGAGCGTCGCCCGTGCGCCGGCCCTGGATTGCGTCTCTGTCCCGCATCCCGGCCTCCCAGAGTGCGTGGGCGACATATGGCGCGACTTCGGAATTTCTCTGGCGATATATAGGTTTCCGACGCCGGTGCACCAGCAGCCATTTTGGCGGTCGCGGCGCACTTTAGTTCGACGGTCCACCAACGCGTTCTGTTTCCAATTCGGCGCAAGAGGATTTGCTGGTGCTCATTTTCGGGGGCGCCACCCGTTGCTGAGGACGAAGACGCCTCGCGTTGATTGGGGGCTGTGCGTGTCGCGCCACGGTGGGGGTGACGTCACGTCGCGCGACGCGGCGCCACTTCGCCCCGTCGCATCGCGCCCCGCACCCCCATGTCGTTTCGCGCCAATCCTCCTGCCCCCCCCTCTTCCTTCCTCTTCCCCTCGTCCAAGGCGCTGCGCGTTTTGTCCCGTTTGCGAAATTTGTTTTCAGTTCTTTTGTGTCAGGCTGCCGTCCTGTCCGCCTCCCTACTCGCCCCCGTTGTCCTTCCACCCTCCTGGAACTTCTTCTCGTCCTCCTCGCTCCCGCCGCCCCCCTTCGATCGCCTTCCATCGCTCCCGCCGCCACTGCGCCGCCCCCGCGCGCCCCCTCCTCGCAGGTCCGTTCCCGTTTCCGCCCGCCCTTCCCTCGCCTCACTTCCACCCTCTTTCCCCCCCCAATGCATCGGCGGGCGAAGCGTCGCCAAATTGCTGCAGCGACGGACCGATGTTCAAAATCTGACGGGGCGAGTGCTTGAAATGGATTAGTCCGTACGCGCTGCATCTCCATGTCGTCTATTGGTCTCCTCGCGTTTGTAGTTCTGACGCGCGTGTCTCGCTATTTCTACGATTGCCGCGCGCATCCCTTGATTGTTTCGCCAGCGGGCCTTGCAGTTCACATGCCGTCAGGAGTCCACGGCGGCCTTCGAGCGATTCGCGCACGACCTGCGCGCGAGGCGCGAACGACCCGAGCGACGCCCGCGCGACGCACGCGCGACGCGCGCGCGACGCGCGCGCGACGCACCCCGACCCGCGCGCGAAGCACCCCTGGCAGCTCGCGACGCACGATCGACCCGCGCGACGCACGCGCCACGCACGCGACACGCGTGCGCGACGCACGCGCGACGCACGCGCGACGCACGCGCGACGCACGCGCGACGCGCGCGCGACTCATGCGCGACGCAGTCGCGTCTTTGCCCGCCCCTAGCATTTCTCCGAGCAGCAATGCGCAACGGCCGTCGGCCTGGCGTGTTTGCGCTGTTCACGAGTGGCGGCGGCTGCGTCCTGCGTTGCACCAGGAAGGGCGGTGCTTGCCCCTGTTATTTCCCTTTTCCTTCCTCGTCGTCCTTTCTCTTTTGTCTTTCCTCCTCCTTCGTCCTCTCTCCTGCCTCGTCTCCCTCTCTCCTCCCCTTCTCCTCCTCCTTTCTACCGGCCTTCCTCTGTCTGTCCCTCCCCCCTCCTCTCTCGTCTTTGTTTTTCCCCTTGCCACCCCGTGTCCCTCTTCATTTTCTTTTTCTCCTTCGGCCCCCCTTCCACGGCCGCGGCGCGTCGCCGCGACCGGCGCCCCTGCCTTCCGCGAACGGCCCCGCCGCTGGCGGTGGAAGAGGAAGATTACGAGGGGAAATGGAGGGGGGAGGGGCAGGGGCGCGAGGCGGGCGCGGCGGCAAGGGCGGCCCGGCAGGGGAATGGGGGGGAGGGGGGGGGGGAGGGGGCGGGTGCTTCTGTAATGGTCATGTTGGTGATCATGGTCGTGGTCGCGTTCGTCGCCTTGTTCGCGCTGGCGGCGGTCGTGCCGCTGGTGGTGGGCGGGCTGGTGGCGGTCACGTCGGTGATCGTGCTGGTGTCGGTCGTTGTGGTGGTCGCGAGAAGCGTGGTGGTCGTTGTGGTGGTGATGGCGGTAAATGGCGTTGGTCGTAATCGTCGCGGTGGATGCGGTTGCGGTCGCGTCCGTTTGTGGTGATCGTGGCGGCGGTAGTTTTGGCGCTGGCGGCGATTGCGGCGGCTGTGGCGGCGGCTGCGGGGACCTGCTGGCCGATCGCCGGGGTGCGTTCAGCAGCATCGCTGCGTTTGTAATGTTAGAGGGATCTGCTGATCTGCCGAGGTAGCCCAGCGGCCGCCTTCTTCTCGCCAAGAAGGCCGCAGCGTGGGCGATTTTCTTTTTCCCGAAGGCGACCGGCCTCTTTAGCGGCCGTGGAGAGGGCGGCGTGCGTGCGATCCGCCCCGTGGGTGTCCGCCGCGCTGGCGACGCACTCACCAAATTTCCCCCTTGCGAGGGCGACGTGCACGTTCGAGAGGACGGCTGGCCTTTTCGGCGGCCGACGCACGGGCGGCGCACGGGCGACGAATGCGCGACGCACCTCCTGTCGCGAAGGGGGGGGGGGTCAGCATTCCTGTCGCTTTACTGGGCCTTAACAACGCCGACCGTCCGCCGTCGCACTTGCTTGTGGTTGCTGCTCGTCGTCTTGAGGTGGATGGTCGTCTCCTTGTCGATGCTGGTCGTCGCTGTCTCCTCTGTCGCCTCATGCTTGTTGCTGGTCTCGGTCTGGTACTTCACACAAGAGTCGTCTCGATGTCTCATAAACTCGCAACACGTAGTAGACTGCTGGAACTGCCACTGCGATTCCAATCATGGTAAACGTCAATGCATCCCAGATGCTTCCAGACAACCGCGAACACTTCGCGATCTCGTCATAGGAGTACTTGTACTCAGTGTGGTAGTCGAACTCTGAAGTGTAAGTTGTCGCTGCAAAAGCTGCCAGATGAATGAGTGGTGATCTCGCCTTAGTAACTGATGACTTCTTCATCTTACTCTTCTTGATGATCTCTTGTCGCTCCTCCTTGGTCTTCTGATTGGCTTCCGTATAGGTAGGGTCATGCTGTAGCTGAAGTCGTCCAATTCGAAGTGTGTCTACGAAGAGTTGCCTTGCCGCTATCTGCGTGAGACCTTCCGCACACGGCCGCTCTGATGAGAACCACTTCCATTGCGTCGGTGTAGCATCCATCCGTTTTCGTAGTGCCAATGCCTCAATGCCAGTGCGCTTGTCCTGAAAGCTGGTGATGCTCTCCTTGTTGGCTGCGTCGTAGAGCGCCTTCGCATCGATCGCGAGTGCTGACGCTCCTGCGTAGTGCGTGCTCTCGTCAATGTTGACGCTCACGTTGTCGTATATAAGGCTGCCCAGGATCGCTTCGCAAATTCTAGTGCGCCCATGCCTGCTGCCACTGCTTGGGATTCTGCATGTAGTGATGACCTGGCTAGTCTCATCAACTTGAAAGACTTCCCATCAACAGCGCAGAAATCTGAATCCTCGCCGTCAAGTACTTTTGAGTGACATGCCATAATCACGTATATGTCCTCCTTGACTAGGTCCGTCTTGTCGTGCCCCCCAAGCTGCGTCAGTCATCGCTACGAGCACGATGTCGCTTACGTTGCCAATCTTCATCATCTTGAGACCGACGTCCGCGTTCTGCTTGTAGAGCCTTAGCGTGTTATGTACCTCTCTTGCTGTCGCCACCGTCGCCGTTGGAAGCTGCCCTCGGCGAGTGTTGACCGATGCTCACGCATGTGGGCATGCTTGCGAACTTGGCCACTGTAGAGCTCCAAGTAGTCCTCGAAGTTGGCGTATCTCCTTTGGCGTGAGTAGTCGGTCGTTGTCGCCGTCCCTCTGATCAATCGTGATCGGTTTGAGGTTGGAAGCGTAGGACTGCATCTTGATGTTGATCCCAGTGCCGTTGGAGCGCTTGTTGTCCCAGTGAATGCTCTGGTGTAGATCCGATCCAGGAT